CAAAATGCAAAGAAAACGCCACATATCTTTGTTTTAAATCAAAGCTGGGCTTCGAAAATTTAATATTCGACATCACTGCTATTTTCTTGCATTACATTGATAAAAAAATTACATTATCTTCACTTTGTATAAAGGTTTTTCGATGTTTTATCATTGCATGCGTTATTGTAACAAACGCGTAGTACATTGGTATACTAATTAAAATAATGTTGTTGGAAATATATATTTAAATTATGAAAAAATGAAGGCGTTTAGAAATCTGTCATGCATTCATTAGTAGTAGTAGTAGTAGTAGTAGTAGTAGTAATAGTAACGGAGGACATGGGCCATGCATTGATAGTAGAGAAATCAACATTTTGGTTGCATTTAAGTTACATTAGGCTAGGTTAGGTTACTTTAATAGGATATAATATGCAAGGCCTGTTTGCCAAAGGAAAGGAATCTCCTCGTCGAGGAAACTATCTCATGTTCGCTTTACTCATGGAAAAAGCTCGATACCCCAACCCTTGCTTAGGTTCAAACGCAAGTGGAACCCCTAGTATTAATCGGTGCTCACAATCGGCCACTGGTGAAGGCCTTTTCATTTAGGGTCATTCATTATTTTATCCCAAAAGCAGGTATAATCAAGCTATAAACAAGCTATAATAAATCAGAGTGAAAAGTGTTTTAATTTCCAGAATTCTATTCAAATTATGTTGGACTAATGTTCTTGAAATATATACATCAAGACATTAAAGGGATCATAAATAATGTATTGTCAACTATCATTCCTCTGACATATTGTTTAATATCCATGACCCTTAACGCAGATATACTCAGAAGAGTCGTGAGCAGCAATTTTCTTGTATTCGCGTTACTCATGGGAAAACGCATGAAACCCAATACCCTGCAGCTAGCCCGTTCACGATCTCATTGAAGAATTATATAAAGGATCTCATGACACTACACACAAGAGTTGGATAAAAAGGACAGCAGAAACATTTCGATATTTCTGGAAAGCCTTTAAAAAGTGAACACTTATGATCCCTTACCATGTCTACCACCTTCTGCCAAGTTACTATAATGCGTCGTAAACTATCAGCGCTGCGACTTCCGGTTCATTACCTCAGACACCATCTGCATCCAACATTCAGAAGAAAACGACGACATTTCTTGGTGATGAATCTCATTATTTTTCAGGCTCACCAGCGGCCGAGCGGTAAAATCGCTGAACACTGGTAGTTCTCACCTGAGTTCGAATACAAGCAAATGGCTGGCTGCAGGGTGTTTTCGTGGTTTTCCCCATGTATAACGCGTATACTAGCCAGTTTCCCTTAGAATCTATCCACGAAGGCATTTCAACCCTTAGACAAATAAACCTAGTGTACTTTGCCATAATAAACTAAACCAAAACCAATTCCATCATCCTCTATGACAAATGCGCAGAGTCATAATACACTGTCACTTATCTTCTAGGCCAGCTATCTCCAAACATTTTTGATCGCGTACCCCTAAAGCGAAAATAATTTTAAGTTGCATTCCATATAATATAATGTAATATATTCGGAATATAGCTAACACTAGCTTTAAAGCCAATGATAATGAGTTTCTTAGACGCGAGTGAAATCAAATTCAGCAGCTAATGAGTAAACCTCACACTCACGCAATACACGATCATACACTCGCAAGAAACCGTAAGCCTGATCGCCTATTCTTTTGGCGTACCCCCAAGAATCATTTTGAGTGGCCTCTGGGGTACATGTACTTCACTTTGGAGACCATTGTTCTAGGTCAGGGTTTCTTAAACTGTATACCTACAGTTCCTGACGGCCCCCAAGGGGGTCGCGGGACCTGCAGCAAGGGGTCGCCAAACATTTTAGCAGTTTTGATATTTCATATTATAATAATTTTACAATTATTAAATATTTTCATACAATGTATCTGAAAATAGATAAAGATAAGACAATACAGACAAAGACAAAAACGGAAACATTACGACGCAATCTTTTTATAATATAAGCGTTCGTTTTCCTTGCTTTGCACGTGACGCTGTCATTTCGTCTGTTATTTATTTAAAATTTTCATATTGTTCTATGTCTTAAAATTAGAAATTAAAGTTGTCCTAAAACTGCAATAGTATATTACAATATAAGTTAAAGTCCTAAAACTGCAATAGTATCTTACAGTACAAGTTAAAGTCCTAAAACTGCAATAGTATATTACAGTACAAGTTAAAGTCCTAAAACTGCAATAGTATATTAGTGTACAAATGGAAAAAATTGACAGTTTCACTCACGCGTGTGTCGGATTTGTGCGATACATATGGGGGTTCCACAAAATTTTTGTAATTATTATGGGGTCCTGGGGGTCGCGAGAAAGTCTCAGTGATAAAAGGGGTCGCGACTGAAAAACGTTTAAGAAACCCTGTTGTAGGTTATAATAGATTTATGGAGCAACAGCTACACGCACCTCTGATATGAGTCCGGATATGTATATCTTATCCTCAGAATGAAAGAACTACTGCGATAGGCCCATCAACTCAAGAGAAGAGCTTATCGGCGCTATTAAGGATGTCTCTGCGTGACAATATACACGTGGTTAAGGTTACGACGCCTTCCGGTAATATAGCAGACAGTTAATATCAAGTCATTATATTGAAGCTTGTACCTTTGCTAATAAGGCCTTTTAAAAAACATGGACGCATTCCCTCTACTTTTTATCCAACCTTTGTAAATAAAATTATGAAATAATAGTAATGATAAATAAATTATTATTATTAAATAACAATAATTAAATAATAAATAAATTATACTAACAAATAACAATAATTAAGTACTTAAAAATAAATAGAAAATTACATCAATTTTACATCTTTAAAAATCCTTTATTCTATTTGGGAATTAAAAATATCAAAACTGTTATCCAGCTAAATTGCAGTGTTTTTAAATGCGACTGAAGAATCATCAGCGGAAGGACGATTACACGTTTTTTCAACAGACAATAAACTGCATCGTAAAAAAAACTGAAGAACAATAGAAAGCAAAGGAACGAAAGAGCGCAGTCCCTATTATCTGTCAGGGAAGGAGTCAATGTTTTGCTGTAATCCTCTTCTTGAGATGACACTAATCAGCTTCATAATAGCTTTTAACTTTAGAGAAAAGGTAACAGATTAAATGATAAAAACTCATGGAAAAAAGCAAAATAAAAAGTAAACGAAATTCGAAACGAAACATTCACAAAAAGCTAATAGCAAAACTAAAACGAAAAGAACATGAATGAAAAGCATGTGAAATAAGTCAACTGCCGCCATATTATTCAGTTCGGATTTTTCCCCCATCAGACATTGCTAACTTTTGTAAAGTTAAATACAAAAACTTTTGAAGAAACAATCACAGTAAGTTTTGGAGATGGATAAGTTTATTTACATAATATATTTCACCTTCTTCATTGCATGTTTTTACTAACTTTTGTATGGCTGCTGTTTGTCTACATGGCTTCAGTTTTTCAATAATAATAAGAGTTATTTATTTATTTTGAACTAAAGAAGAAAACTGAAGGAGAATTAAAACAAACTGCTTTAATTTTCTTTCACTTTGTATGGTTTTTTAATGGTTTGATAGCAAGGCACACAAGGGCTATCTGCCTAAAGGGCGGGATGTCTTCGTAGAGAAATTTCTAAGAGTATCTGGCTCGCATACAGGTTACAGATGCTAAAAACTATGAAAATGGCCATGCAGCCACCCCTTTTGCCTGGAATCGAATCCAGGTCGAAACTACGAGTGTTCAGCGATTTTACCGCTCGGCCACTGGTAGGCCTTTGAAATTGTAATTAACAATTTTAAATAAATACAGTTTGATCTGTTGATGCTGAAGATAATGTGCTATGTAGGCGTAAAACGAAATCTGTGCTGTGTAGAGTATTTTAGTACGTTTATCAGCCGTGCGTCAGCCTTTAACGAGGTTAGTTATCAGGGTCATGCAGACCCTCTCAGTGGCGGCTCAGGCCCCACGTACCGAAAGGCTCGGGTTCGAATACCGGATAAGGTATGGATTTTGTAAATGTATAGTGTCTTTACGGTTTAAACCAGAGAGCTGGCTTCCGCCCCGAATATATCTGGGTATACCCATACGGACTTGAGTGCCAACCCAGCAGGGAGATGCCAAAAAGGACCATTCCACGGTAACACAACTCCTTGGAGACGGCAAATTTAATATTCTATTTCTGAAAAACAAAGAGGGGTTCACAACATGAGCGCGGTTACGGGGCCCTTGAAGAGCTGCTAACATTCTATTGTCATACTACATAAATCAAGTAACAGGGGATTACAATTGAATATGAAAATACTTACACTGTTGTTGCCTTACATATGATTAAGAAGTACAAGTGCGTAGATTTGCATAAAGTAACAAAGTTAATAATAGACATTCATATGATATTGGTACAATTTACGGTATGCAGACACACTAAATATATACCCAGCCGAAAGCATGAGATTTGGCCGTAAGGGAAGAGGGGTTAGAGACTCTCGGATCCATCCCGCGGGGTGCTGTCTCTCACAATTTGGGCGGAACTCATCGTAAGAAGTGCTGTCACGGATTTGGTGCTCAAGGCTTATGCCAAACAAAAGGTGCCCTTCTTGCCACGATAGTATTCGTGTTTTTGCTCTGAATATGTCAGACAAATCGGATACGAAAAACACAACATAAATAGCACATTTGATTCTCATCAACCCACCTCCTGGTCATGCGCAACCTCTAAACGAAAACGCTATTAAACTACAGAAATCACTCGCCGAATCTAACATAGCTAGCATAAAGACGGTTCTTTAGAGGGTCAACTCTATATTGTGCGTTTTAAAACTATCTGTCTCTCACACACACTTTCAGCTTATACTGTTTTTCGTTACTTAAATCCGATCTAGTCTACCTTCTGTTAGCCAAAAGAATAAATAATGAAAAATATTCACTGCTATTTCTTGACAAATTTCAGTTATCCTTCAACGTTTTTCTTTTTCTTGCAGGAGTTTAAAAGGTAACAGAAATCTCCGATTGATCACAGAAGATGCTTTCACTGGCCTTAAAAATTTGAGATCATTGTAAGTATGGACTGTAATATAAAATTCAATTTGTTTTATTCTCAGACTTTGTCAATAATTCATTTTATCTTATTTATTATCGGCTAGTCAAGAACAACACACTGAACAGTGCTGATATTCTTTCTCTCTTTAATTTAAAAATTAAGTGTAATATTTTTTCTTAGGAAATTCAGCATTGAAGAAAAAACAATTTTTTAACTCTTTTACTCCTAGCTCATAGGTGCACTACATAGTAACTAATTTATCAACCTTTGAATATCTATTTTCTAACTAGATATTTCATTAACCTTCTTAACACCGATTTAATAAATTCCTGAACCTGAATTACAGTCCTCCTTCTAGGTTGATTTTTATTCCTTCTTTTATTTATCAAAAAAAGAAAAGAAAGAAAAGAAGAAATAACAAAAAATATTAAAATGTGAAAGCTTTCAGATATTTTAACATTTTATGGGATACCTTTATTTTTTAAATATCATGTTCTTCGCACTTAAACCCTAAAACACAATTCAACAGCAATATCACAAAATAATTTCTAAACGAGCATATGTTTAGAATTTCTGAAACACAGTCTTTCGCGCTGGAGATAAAAATGTTTTTTCCGTACAGTGATGCCATTGCTCGCTTTGAAATCGAATACAGGGCTCTAATATTTGGTGGCAACAATTTGAAAAGTGGACCGGCATTTTTACTGAATCAACGCAAAATGCCAAAACGAAATTAATAGTCCTTTTGGGTAAATTGTCCCTTTGAACTAATAATTTTAAAATAAATAAAAGTAAACAAATAAACTCTGATAGGGTTCAAAATTTAACGGTCGTCCAAAAAAGGCTATTTTAAAATTTAATATGGTTTATCAGTATAGATTAACTGCAGACATGCCCATGTGAAATACCAAAACGTTTTATAGGATCCTAGATAAATAGACATTTAGATTAACATGAGAACTTTACATATCTTCTGCATATTTAAAAGTGAAACAAAATGTGTAATGTAATTCTATAAAAATATTTATTGTTTTTAATTAGTTATTAGTCCAAAGGGATTTGAATCCCGAAGGACTATTAGTTTCGTTTTGGCATTTTGCGTCGGACTCATAAATGTCGGTTCACTTTTCAAACTGTTGCCACAAAATGTTAGAGTCCTGCATTATATTTGAAGAAATTAAATAATGAAAAATCTGCATAAATGTATGTATATTTCTCGTATTGTGATAAAACAACGGTACATAGAGTCATCGAATTTTGAATAACGTAATCCTCCAACGAATATGAGCATGTGGAAGACCAAATTTGAAATTTGAAATTTGTTTTATGATCGATTTCCTATTTTTTAAAACTTTGACGAATTTTTGATTAACAAACTCAAGGATTTCAAAGCGAGGAATGGCAACGTTGTGCAGAAAAAACATTTTTATCTCCAGCGCGTGAGTCTCTGTATCGGAAATTCTAAAGATATGCTCGTTTTAAAACTATTTGGTTTGCACTGGTAATGCACTGGATCTTATGGTTTAAGTGCGAGGAACATGATATTTAATAAAGAAAGGTAACACACAAAATGTAAAAAACGCCCCTTTGGACGTAATTTAAAATCTGAAACATTTCAGATTTTTTTTATTATGTTTAAATTCACTTTTATTCAAATTAGTTAAATTATGTTTAAATGCACTTTTATTTAAATTATTTAAATTATGTTTAAATGCACTTTTATTCAAGTCAGGTTAAAATTTTTTAAAAATAACATTCTTAAGAACAGTATCAGTCTCTTCTAATAGCTTAATTTGTTAATAAATAAGAGACAGATTAAATTTCAAAGATAAATATTTTATATTTTGCCGAACGGCAACAGGCTTTAATTAAAAGTTAAATCAAGCAAAATATGAAAACAGTGCCCAGTGCATCAGAACTTCCTATAAAACCACGGTCTACATCATCTTATCTTATATAAACTATGATCCAGATCATCTTATCTTATGTAAATTATGATCAGATTATAATTACTATAGCTTATATTGAGAGATTTAGTATAAACTATGGGCCAGATCATCAAAGTCTTCCGTACAGGCTGCTCAAGTTTCAAGGGAATTAATTAATTTATCCAATCAATAATTAATAACTTTGGTTCTATAACTTCTAATTGCACTTGAACTGTTTGGTATTATAACGTCTTGTTAAAAATGAAATTAAGGTGAAAGTATACCTTTTAAATCTTATCTTTATTATTGTTTCAATTTATTTTTAATGGAAGATCTTCGTTTATTTACTGCGAATTTAAATTTATTGTTATATTCAGAATGTGTAAAGAAGTAAACATTATACGAAATTAAAAGTTAATCGAATTTATTTACAAAATGACTTTTTGAAAGCCTTTTTCACTGTATGTTTCTAAATTAAATCGCTTTGCATTATTCACTCACTGTTTTAGCAATTACTTTGGCTCTTGCAGCAATAATAGAATTTCCTTTATTATTGTCACGCAGCCGTCATTCTTTGCACAATATGCTCGTAAAAATATGTTGATCGGTTTTCGTTCTTTATCTCGCAATGACACCTGATTATTATGATTCGATAGGGAACTGGTCAAAAATTTAATTCCGTTAATTCTGTGGAACGTATCTTGTCAGGGATAATTTGTTCTTGTGACAGTTATAATTACAACATGTCATTTGAGCATACGCTTCCTGTTTCAATTTAATTTTACTTTTATTAGAATCAAGAATATATTTACGTATAAGTTCTTTTTATGAGAGAAATATTTTATTATTTATGTGTACATTAGGTTGCATTATTATCGTTATAAAAATATAGTATAATAGATATATAATATTATTACGTGCTTTGTATTCGTCAATTTATCTTTAATATTTTATAATCACTCCAGAATTCGTGAGATCCGTGGTTCGAGTCCTAGCGAGGCCATTGCTCATTTTTCACATCTACTTTGAAATAACCTAATGACTCTACAAATTGTAATTTGTTTTAAGGTATTATGGAAACTATAACTGAGCCAATTTTTTTAGCACATTTCCTAACCTTTTTTCGTGGATTATATTATTTCTATTAGTAGGTAACAAAGACCATTTACAAAAGATATTGTATTTGTTGCAAAAATAATGCAACGGCTTTTGTAAAGAGTCTTTGTTACCTACCAAAAGAAATGACATAAGCCAGGAAAAAAGATTTGGGAATATGCGCACGCAGTTGGTCATATTATATTTTCTATTATGCCGTCAAAAGAAATTACAGTTTTAGCTGTAAGACCTGCTTACCTACATTTACCACTTGTAAATCCTGCTTACAAGCAGTAAACGCCAGCTACGCCTTCCTCCGTCAGCTGTCATCTGTATTTGTTGTGTTAAAAGTTTCACAAACCTTCATTTCTTATGGATATCTTTCTAAGATTCAGACTTACCAGATGACTCTTTTATGCTTCACCTGAAGTTTCTACAGAAGGAAAAAGAAATCCTGAAGTGACATGATTTTATTGCCATCTCCAGAAAATTCTGTAGTGGGATGGTACAATATTGTCATATGGTATCCTCTCATATGGTACAATAAGACATTTCCATATGGTCTTTATTTACCAGTTTTCTACCACCTGCCGAAGAAATAACTTGGATTTTACTTACATAATCGTTTCAGCCTTATCTCACTAATCATGAAATTAATATGTTAATATTCTGTTCACTTTCAAATTTAATTGACAATACATTTATAGTACATATACTTTTTGAATAGCAGGAAGCAAATCATAGAATTTTAGGTACTTATTAAAATCGCCACCGTACTTAGTCACCAAAACTAGCAAATTTAATTGCATTATGTTTAAAAGTAAGTTTCAAAAATCGCTAAAGGTTTATGCAGTGGCCTCTTTAACAAAGAAGGTATTTATTTTTATGAATATTATTTCATTTTAAATGTACTTATTTTCCTTCTTTAAAATATACGTTTTGTGCTTTTTCAAAGGGATCTTTCAGAGACGAGCATTCGAATGCTGCCAACTCGAGGACTGAGTTCTCTGGAAACTCTGAAAATTACGGATACATTTGCCATGAGGAAGTTCCCTTCGGTGTTACATTTTCCAGAAATCAAAGAGGCCCACCTTACATATCCTTACCATTGCTGCGCCTTCAAATTCCCAATTACTCACGATCCTAAGGAATTTACTCGACTACAATCATTAAGAAGAGATCTTCACAGACGATACTGCGCCTCCACTACCACAGATTATCCTACAAGCCATGTAACCGCCTCGATGATTGAGAAACGATATGTATCTCGGGCTGCTCCTGAAGACGAAATCGAAGATAACGATGGTATGTGATTTCTTATCAAAATATTGTGATAGTTGTTTTTCTGTCGTTCAGAGTTGTGCCTGAGCATGTTTTCTCCAAGACATATCCCACAATAACTGTACTTTAATCAAGTATAAAAATTAATTAACTCATATAGAACAATTTATATTATAAAAATTTTTACCTTTTCTCTGTCATTTGCAATAAACGGGATTACACAATAATAGTGTATTAAAAATTCTTAGCAACAATTCTTAATTTACAATAATGTAACTTGATCTGGTTTTAATGTTTAGTTTTGTTAATGTTTAATCTGTTGCATTATTATAACTATGAAAAAATTGCAGTGATCCGTAAATTTATCTAAACGTATTTAATTCAGTTGAGTTTTAAACATCCATCATTTATAAGCTTCAGAACTTTTCAATCATTTGTGAACGACTGAGAATCATGATGGAGTAATTTAGCAGTTTTGAACATTTAATTTTGCTTGTTGAAGTTCATTAGACATTTCGAAGCCAGGTAATTTGACAAATCAACTTTGCCTTGGCTGGCATTCGAACCACGAAGCTTCCAATCTCCAGCTGAACGTATTAAGCATTTACATTACGAGACACGCATTAACGAATGTGATATTTCCTTACATTCTTCATCGCTTAAAGAGCAACTGTGGAAAAGCATGTGATCCAGCTGACCAACTCCAGATTTTGATCAATTAGCATCCACTGCATTTAAATTTGATCCCCACTGTGGTGGCTTATTAAGTTTTTCGAAGAAGTCGGAGAATAAGGGAAATCAACAATGACCTCGTCAATATTCAAACAATAACGTTTCCGACAGCAAGGTAGACATGTTAATTTCTTACACCATGAAACGTGCATGAAAACATGCAGTAATTTCTTATACGTTCTTCAGTTTCCAAAGATACAGTCTGTTTTTTTTATACTGAAAAAGTTATAACTTGGTTAACATTAGTGTAGCGGCACCTCTTGCGGAGAATAGATTTCTAAATGTCCTGTTTGGAACACTCAACGAGCCATCAATAATGGATTCAACATTCTGCGTGATGCTCACTTGTGCTTCTTGATCTGTTGTTACTTGTCCGTGTAGTAATCTTTAGCACAGATGACAATTGTGGCGCACAAGTTTTTCATGTCCTCAAAAATGGTAAGTGACCTTGGGATTCGATTGTGGATCTGTTACGTGGAGGTTAAATATCTTAACGCTATCGCGAAACAGCTCGTGACAGTTTTGGATATTTAAACTGTTTCGTGGTCAGAGCGTCTGACTGGTTTTGGGGATTACTACACATTCCCCGAGCATTTTTAATGCTACTGAATTGCGGTCGTAGTTATGATACATGCCCATTGAATATAACTGATCGTCGCTTTGGTGAGCTGCGATCCCAATGCATGGGCGTGCCTAGGTGTAGCATCGTGACGCGTGGATACAATTCGTTCATTGCTCTGAAGTCGGTGTCCTTGTAACGTTCGAGGTCATGAATTTGACGATCCTGAAGGGTAATGCTTAGGCGGGCTTCTCGGTATCTTGTTGCTTGCTCGTGTTGCCATTATTAGTACACATGATACATGAAAGACTTTTCCATGTCCTTGACGATTTTAAGTGACTTTGGTGTTCAATCGTGAATCAGTAAAGTGGCAGTTAAATACTTTGCTGCTATCGCAAAAGTACTCCCTTGAGATTTCGAATATTTGAACTGTTTCACGGTTCGAAGGTCTGATTGGATGCCGGGTAGTAAAATGGGCTATTTCTAACAAGATTGCCATAAGAAAATTAAAAGTTTGATCTTATGGAATAGATGCATAGTAAATTTATTTTTTGTTCCTGAACCCGACACCAGTAAGTTTCATGATAATTGAATTAAAATTTTACTTTGTAATTCACTAAAGGAGAATGTTCATTTCAGTTACCGAAATTGTGGTCAAAACCACAGAAAAGATTTTTGTTGTTTATAAAATTTTTTGCCCTATTCTATTGAAAGTGTTTACATAAAATGATATTCTTTATTTTAAGGGGCATTGTAATACGAAGTGCGTGACTAAGTCAACATATAAAGAAATGAAGCCTGTAGCTACATTCTTTGCATCTTTTGTATATGTATGTATATACATATACAGAGAGAGAGAGAGAGAAAGAATGATGTAATTTAGCATCTAAGAAAAGCTAAATGGAAAAACTTACCTTCAACCCAGTGCCAGTTTTCAAAAGCAATAATAATGTAAAATTACAAGGAAAAAACAGTAAATGTAATAAAATAATATAATTTTTTAAAAACTTCCTTACAAAAAAAGGGAACTTGCAGGGAAACTGCAAAGGCATTAATGTTGAAATACAAGTAAATGCACACTCGATAACCAAAGTTGAAGTAAATGCATACAATATTAAAGCAACTTTTATTTTATAATTTCAAAAAAAAAATGAAGGATGCGAAAATGAAAATAAACAAAATAAAATTAACAAATTAAAAAACAACGGAACTAGAACATCGTATTAGAGGGCGGCACATACAAAATTCCATCAGCTGCATTTCTGATCTCATTATGTCACTCAGGAAAAGGTTTTATTCTGAAAATTTTCAAGCAAGAAAAGATTACCCCAAATAATCATTAACAGGGAGTGAACTGATTAGCCTACCCCTACACAATCCATTCGTAACAGACTTAAACCACAAACTTTCTTGGGACATTCAGGCAATAAACTAATTATTTTATATGTCCATCGAAATTACACTTTGACAAAGAGTAAGAACATTATCCTTTAATCATAAGAATTTCTGAATAGATGCAACATATTTTCGGACAAAGTTAATCCCTTAATTCCCTAATGAAGACGGATTATTGCGGTGCACTTATAATTTTAAGTAACTTTTACTAAATTAACTCATTTAGTGGGCCAAGGAGGTATTCATTTTTACAGAAACAACTGATCTGTTGTTTTTCATGAGAGCTCTTGTTAAGAACTTTGTTTTTATAGTAACAGCTGAGTCGTTTCTCACCAATTTGCTTCATTAGCGAGGTGATATAAAAATGCCTCGCCTGGCATAAAGTATCTATGGGAAAAGATTACATTAAACTAAGCAAGTATCACATTCTCCAGTATCATTGGTGTTCTGTGTCAACTACCGTACCGGTGAGCCCGGGTTCGAATTCAGAGAAAGCATGGATATTTGTTAGCGTATAGTGTCTGCACGATTAGGAGGCACTCAAAAAACATGGTCAGTCAAAAGTCCTCTCTCGAGATGCGGTAGGAGAATAGAGGTGAGTGTTCCTGGCTTGCCTCCCAGAGAGTTCGCCCTTAAAATAGAGGAGGAACTGCAAAGTTAGGGAGTAGTATACCTGCGAGACCAATGATGAAATTCTAGTGTCTCGCCCATTCCTTTGGTATCTGTATTAATTGAGTATGGTTTCCATCTGCATTTCCACAGACCTCTCGAAAGTAAAAGGGATTCGTAGTAGTGGCCTTAATGAAGCAACAAAAACCAACAAATGTTGAATGCAAACAATTACTTAATATAGCTATGCCATCCTTTCTTTTTCCCAGATTCTACATTTACGATTTACCGTTATCAACTCTTCCATGCAATGGAAATTGAACTCTGTCAGTCCAGAAAATACTCAACAACCATTGTATATCTTCTACAGCTTTCATGAAAGCCGGCTTCGATAATTTATAGGATGAAGTAATTGCGTAGGAGTAAACTTTCAGTGCGCAGATAAGTATATGGAATACCAATGTCTTTGGTACACCAGTTCCTTGTCTCAATCTTCCTCGTACGTCATTCGTTAGTACCCTGACAATAATATAAATTTACGAAGCCATAGAGTGGGTGCGGATCTCTGGCTAATGTGATGCGTCACTACAAGTGAGATCACACAAAATCTTCTGTTCCTTGCAAATGTTGTACTGGGGAAAGTAGTCTTCATAAATGACTTGTTGTCTACCTTTCTTCATTCGAAATGTTCGTAAAACTTTGAGGGCTATTCAAAACATAAATTAAACAGTATCATCAGCAATGCTTTTTCCAGCAAAGTTTCCAGTAACAGCGAAATTTTACGCTAGTGAGAGAATATTCAAAAATTAGTTATTAGGTATACACCTTGCACATTTTAACACTCTGATTTACATATCCCTTCCGATTTGAATACGTGAAACGCCATCTGTCGGCAGGTATTTGACCTAAAGACATTGTTTTCTACCGAATAAAACTTCCTATATGAGACTACCATTTCGCTAATCGTGACCAAATACATACGTTCCTTCAATTATTACTATAGTTCTAATTTTTATGAACTTAGCAAACACCCTTCATATACACTCAAATTCAATCAAGATTCAAACTCATGCACAATAGTTTGTTTAATATATGAAGATATATCTTATTTTCTCTATTTCTAAAGGATAAAAGTTTTTTATTTCGTTTTCAGTGAAGGAATGTTAAATTTATATTATTCAGTAGCATAAACTAAAGAACGCATTACACTTTATTTAATGTAATTTTCTTTCGTTGTCCTTAATTTCTTACTTTACCTTCAACTGAATTTAAATCGTTTCGGTTTCATACAAATGTAACTGTAAATTTTTCTTTTCTAAACTGTTTTCTCTTAGTAAACGCCAACAAAAAATTTAGTTTAAAAACCCCATTGTCCATTCATTACCTTCCAAATGAAATATCGATTAGCTGTACCAGGTCAACTCTCTTCGGTTAACAGACTGGGATCAGTGCTTCAATTCAAATACCCAGCATTTCATAAGTTTTTATAACCGTTAACGGCTCCTGTTAAGTCTCCCACTGGTTGCCAGTATGCAGCATGTGTATGAACTCCCGCAGAAGTATCAAATGCAAGCTTTCGTATTCATTTATCCTTAGTTCTTTCTAAAGTAACGGACATAGCACAAAACAATACACATGATACAATACACATGAATTAACTAATGTGGGTTGATAATACAGTATGTATCTCTACATCAAAGAGATGACTAATTACTAGAATTTTTAAATC